GATTGAGATTCTAGAGTTCATTGAGCTGCACAATGGTGAAGACGATTCTTATGATGTGGAGATGATGTCGTTTTTAAATGAGAATGATCTTCCGAACGTCGATGGTGGGCTTGAAGATGACATARATGATGCTCCCYTGATTATTCTTAATGATGGAGATGATGTCATCAGACTTGGAAAAGAAAAAGAGAAAAACGAGAATCAAAAGAAAAAACGCAAAGTTTCTAATGATAGTAATGCAGCCGAAAGCAAGAAGAGAAAGACTAGCAYAGATAAAAYCAAAGASACYTCGATTAAGGAAAAGAAGAAGTCCAAAGCGAGYAAGAAACCSTCTCCAACGCGAAARTGGAAGGATTATCTTARAGCTTTYGAAAACGAAGACAACGATTTTGAAGCTGTTGAGAAAGAATGTACAGTAGRTGATAACGATAGCTTTRAAACGTCTRACGCATTGCTAGATGGTGCARCGAAAGAACAACCTRGAGGTAATTTTGTTGTTGAAAGCGAGGKTGAGAATGAATGCGKYAATCCTGTCAAGAATGTCACGGAAGAAACCGATGATAATGATGATGATACAATCCTGTCSAGCCAGCAAGTATCCCAACTRCTGCCTTCAGTCAACCCYAGTGACYCTTTCCTYTTCCGGTCAAAAATCYTGGATGRGAAAAACTGTGCCAGGGAAGTTCCAAYTCCACCTTCTTTAGACACTTTGAATGAAATAAGCCCATCTGTTTCAAGTCTGACTAGCAAATCACATCAAAATGAGAAGCAAAAGTGGGATAAACTATCTTCTTGCAGAAGAAACTWTCACAAAGATGGTAAACGCGATACATGTGAATTCARTTTAATGGACTCTGATTTTGAAMGTGGGAATGGAAAAATGGAAGKYGAGGGAATGAAAAWTGAAGAGTYTCCYACGAAGACARCTATTATAGAAGAGCCACCSGATGTCTTTGAYTTCGATGATACSGAATTCTGTGACGAATCTATCMSTGRCAGGAGTCCTAAACRTATTTTTAAAGAGCCTCCGGATGTTTTTGAATTCGATGATACGGAATTCCGTAACRAAACTATAACTGATAAGAACCCTAAGGGTATTTTTAAAGAGCCCCCGGATGTATTTCAATTTGATGATCATGTAGAAGGCTTAGGGCAAGATGAGCATAATGTTCATAAAGTAACTACCGATGAAGAACGAGAGAAGGAAAACCATAAAAAGGAACAACAAAAAGAGAATAATGAAAACGATGATGACTTYGAAGAACCCTTTGGACTATTCGAAATTGACTTAACTAATGACATGATGGACGACAACAAGAACGAAAATGTGGAATTAGATAACAAGACAGCAAGCRACTTTCCAACGATCGACAAGAATAGGAATAAAATCCGAGATGCGCCCGACCCGATCCATCTCGAAGACATTGGGGACGATTTAAGCAAACCTTTTCATAAATCTCTTTTGCCTTGTAACTCCTCAAGCAAATCTTCCCATGATAGCGTAGAATTTGACTTTGGTGAAGACATCTTGACTGAAGGCCTTCTAGCTGACTTAGTACATGATGGCAATTGTGAGGATAAATCTTGCTTTTCTAGTAATKTACCCAGAAAAGACGTCGAGGAACCGAYGAAAGAGGAARCAAAAGAAAATTGTCAGAGCGATTCCAAGGAAATGTYAAGAAACTCGAAAGAAACAAGTCCAAAAGCATCGAAGAGGAGWCTAGAATCAAGTATTTCKAAACTTGGCGCATTTGAACGAAGTACAAAGACTTCTGACTCGTCTGGTCTMAGCAATAGGGTAAATGACAGCATAGAAAACARCTCTAAAACTGTAGCTGAAAGTACTCGAATGACTCCCACTAGCGAGAAACGACAGAACGATGAYTTTGAGTTCAAGAAGCCGAGYATTTCTGTGCTTAACCGCTTTCCAAAGTCTCCAGGGTTAAGAGGTTTCAATGAACACACACTTGAAAAGCATGGATTACCCCAGTCGAAATTAACAGGCGTTTCGACCAAGCTCTCTTTGAAGAAAACCGCTGGCAATCGCCTTGAGAGGGGCAGGGAAGGATCTGTAGGAAAACTARCATCTATGAATCAAAATGAAAGCGAACAAGTACAGAGCAAAGTGACTTTCAATAAGTTCGACAATATTCAAATGAAGATTCCCAAAGAAAAGAACCTATGTACATCTCWCGTGAATAGCCGTTCTCAAGTGCAATCSAAAACTAAGTGTCAACAACAAKCACCGTCTTTAGAACAAACTGGCGTTTGTGATGAACAGACCYTRAAATCTCCCACATGTAAGAATATTGGGTGTACACAATCTGCAGATGAAGACTCCCCTGTTATCAGGAATCGTTCAAAGTCAAMACTTCGTCCAACTATTTCGTCTCCWGTATCCCCAGCATGCCRCACTCCTGTCGGCGTTAAGATCATTACCGAGSCAGACGAAGAATCGCCATTGGTTCGAAAGCGTTCGAAGATCAAGAAAAAGAATGGAGATGTTGTTGCGATCGCTGAAAGCGACGAGGAAGATGAGGATGAAGGTGCGCCTACWGAAACTCGCTGCGTCCCTGAACGACAGATTACGAGGAAGCAAAGAAAAGATGATATGAGAARAGCGAAAATGATTTTGTCTGACAGCGAAGAAGAATTCATACTGGAGAATATCAAAAAAGGTAGTTACCATTTGTGAAAATGTCGCAAGAATCTGCTATCATTATATAGTCTTTATGCGGTCAATGACCTCTGTTATTGCTTATGYCATCGGTTTCTTATTGTTGTTACCGTCTCATGTCATTCGATATTTTAATTGACATGATCATATCAATTCATCATCCCTATTATCTTGTTCTTTTGATGCTACCCATAATAATCTGAAAAAGCCCTTCGCCATGATATGTTTGTAACTCACTTTGCTCAATTTTTCTTGCTAGCCGACGTCCATCTTACCCACCGTGATCGATTCTGGAAGACCCCACTTTCAGGGAAGTTGTACATAGATGTAACTCAATTAATTTATTCTTTTGTTCTACAGGTTCTAAAGATAAGCATGACTTGAATCCAAGAGATCGAAAGATGCATCTTAAGGCCAGCGTAAAGCGAAAACGACAACACAGTGTTGTACCGTCCAAGGTTTGAAGCTATTTATTGACATTRTTTATGTTTACATTTGTATTATGGTGTAAGAAAACATAAAAAATAGTTTTCAAAGAGCAATTGCACTTATAAACTGTTATACTTTCATTTTGATAAATCACTCCCCATGCAATGAAATGACTAAAAAAGGACTCCCTTTACGGCGAATACTCGCTATTGCGTACTTTTTTAGGTCCTGAATGTGTACGCTTATACTAAGAGTTGAATAACCGATCTTTTTTTATTGATTAGAAACAAAGAACTCATCGTATCGATGACTTTCTTGACGAGGAAGCCGAGCTCTCYGGAACCGACATTGAAGAATTCTCCGACGACGAAAGTGATGGTGATGGTGAATTCGATAGTTTCATCGATGATTCCTCACAACTAACTCAAAATACTCCAGTACAGGCCAACCCTAAGAAGCGTAAGTCAAACCATGACATGTTAGCGGTGTATCGACAATCGCTCTTYAGTCCWCTTGCGCGTGATTTAAACTTCAAATCGCCTACAATGTGTCGTAATAAGAATCGGTACAAGATGAAGTAYGGAGTCGAGAACTGTGATGAATCKTTGTCGGAGGCGGAAGAAACATACGCAAGAGAGAGTGACCTTGAAAACGAGCTGGGACCTGACAGCGACATAGATGTGTCTGGGGATACACTATCTGTTGACGATGATGAAAGTTATTATGATGGCAATGATGACAACGATGATGAAAAGGATTCGACACCAGTAGCGAGTCAAATTCGACGGCCTTTTAAYCGAGTAAAAAGAAAACGTATAATATTGAATGAAAGCATCGAAGAATCACCCGTTCGCCYAGCTAAYACCAATMATCAATCTCCCATAGTGACTCCATCGAAGGCTTGTGTAACTAAACCGCAATACGCATGCCCATCWAARAAATCACCGTTTGTGACSTCATCTTCTATTGTAAACCGTGAGCCTCCCACACGTGAAAGCACTCCATTAAATATACGYTCAAATAATACAAAGTCGTTGAGTAAAGATCCRAATTTMAGTGTTGATAGCAATGAAACGATGASTAATAATAATTTGTCTACGACATTTGAATTTGATTGGGGGTTAGACTTCAGTGATTCGGATTTACTGGATGCCGTACAAGATGATAAGAAAAGTATTGATGCTAACAGTGCTGTACCAGCTGATCAAGATAATATTAATAGGTAAGTTCACTGGATTTACTTATATGTTTGTGATTGATTGGTTGATTAATTGATTGAATGATTGATTGATTGATTGATTGATTGATCGATCGAATGGTTAGCTGGTTGATCGAATGATTGATTGACTAATTGAAATGCTGATTGGTCAGTAGGTTGGTTTGTGGGTTTGTTGATTTATTTATTGGTTGTTTGATTGATTGATGTGTAGATTTTTTGAAATTAGTTGTATTCCAGTTTTTCTTGATTCATTAATTTATGTGATTCAGGAAATCAGATGTCTGCGATCAAGAAATGCAAGAAATTGCCTTTGCAATGGCTGCAACTGACGATGAYGTCAACGTRGAAATGTCCGAATTGCCWACGTTTTCCCTGGGGCTYGACCTCTTCGGCGGTGACAGCGAAGACATTGGCACCGATGTACAGGAAAATACTTCAGCGAAACAACGTAAKGATCTTAACTCCGTAGAAGAAAGTAAAAAAGCTCAATTCACAAAAATATCACCCCGGTCATCTGCTGTCTCAAATGGTCGTGGTAACAGCAACCAGAATGGCAAAAATATGGAACTTCCTTCTGCACAGCATCTAAAAAACAGCCATTTCTCTACAGCTCAAAAAATGAAGAATGTTGGACCTTCTACAACGAATAGTAAACTCTCTACAAGACAAACTGTAAACAATATTGGACGTTATCCATCGAATGGTACACTTTCTGCAGATCAAAATATACATCATGTTGAACCTTCTTCTCTGCCAAGAAATAAGGCGATAAGCTCACTCTGTTTAGGTCAAAATGTAAAGAAAAATGATGCTCAAAATACGAATGAAAGTAMATTCTCAAAGCCTCAAAATWTWATGAATACTGGAGCTTTTAAATGGTCGAATAGTGATAYTTCAACGGTTRCGAACAGCGGAACTACTTCTAAGAATCAACAACAAAGTAGGCAATRTAGRACTGAAAAGAACTCGACATCATTGGTTCAACCGAACACTCAGGCTAAYAATAAATGGTCCTGGGGTAGTAATTCGTCGGGACGTTTGTCACATTTACCGTCAAATGGAYTTAAAGATGTCACTAATATCGACGTAAAGCCTGGTGGATCGAGTAATGGTGTCAAGTCTGTTCCCACAGCTTTTGTGTCTGTAAGTTGTATGCTTTTTAGGAATGTTTTGAATAAATGTGAAGTATACACAAGGGTTTATTTTAATAAACAATAAACAATTAAAATTGTTAATTTTTGAAATACAGCCATCGCAAAAAGACAAAGGCAAACTAGTCGTGCTAGCAGATACCAAGGAGATTTCCAACTCACAGGTAAAACACATCTACTTTACTTTCAATTTTTCTGGTCGATTGATCATATATAAAGGAAGAAAGTCAAGGCTGTGGAGGACATAAAGGAATATCATCAAGAGTCTCGTCTTGAAGTCTTTTGTCCATCATCATTCAACCAGAATATCGAAAATAGACTTTTCGAATAKGACTCCTGATTTCAGTGTCTTTTTGGTTGCTTTTTCGTTTTGTTTTGTTTTGTCTGATTTTTGATGTTGTTCTGCATGTTTGTTACTGCTGTTGTTTCGTCTTCTTCTTTTATCTGTTGTTCTAGTTATGGTGGTATTTCGTCGGCTTACGATAGTCTACTGTTATCCCAAATACTTGTCCAATGCGCAAGGCCCTCTTGCTCGGATAATAAGCTATCTATATTTATATTATTTGATCATAACAGGTAGTATCGACACTTCGTCGTCARCACAACATCAAAGTCGAGGTCTGTCAGCTGCAACACTGTGATTATGTAGTCAGCAATAGAATGGGAGTTGTCAGAAAACTATCATCAGGTAATGAAGGTTGACGTCTATGTAATTTATATTTGCGAAGCGTTTTGGCGGGAATTACAATGGTTTACAGCACTGGCATATTCTCACGCACGCTATGATTGGTCCAAGAACCCACGGGACCAGAGACTTCGCGGGATTGCTTTTTTAAGGCCAAACAAGCAGCCTAACGGAAATGTATTTATAATTCGTAATGCATATTACTAAGCTGGCTGTGWTTATTTATTGCAGCTGTTGCGAATGGTTCCAATTCAACCAAGATTCTTGATCGAATGAGAGTTGTTTGTGATTTATACGACCGACCTTGTTTTATCATCGAGAAAGACCGCGTGAAGTCTGGAGAGACTGACCGTGATTAGTAAGTTTATAACGGGCGGTCTAGAACACAGGCTCCCGGTCCGCAGGGTTTTTAACAATAAACCCCCGTTTTAGTCTCAATACTTATTTTTTTCATTTTATTTCTAGTCTTATTTGCAATGCGCTCCTGTTTTCAGCCTTTTTTCTAATGTCATGTTCTTATGATTGTGTCCACAGTTCAAAGAGCAACGCCTATATTTATACGCTGGCTTGTATGGCTCAAACACACATCAAAGTTTTGACCAGTCAATCTCAAGGTACAAATCCAYTTACATCTTGTGGTAAATCTTTCAATTTATGTCTGTAAGCTGTTGGGAAAAGATGTCTTTAACAGGAGCTGTTTTGTTTTACTTTCACAGAGGAAACTGCTTCTCTTCTCACTGATCTTGCTACTCTTGAAGCAAAGAAAAACACTCACATAGTCGCTCCTACTGTAATGAATAAAGAGACACAGCAGGTATGATTCCTACTCTTCTAAAAAAAGTATGCTGAAATGAGAGCTCATGGCAGCGCACTTAGTAACTTAATTTAATAACCAAAGTTTATTAATATTTTTTTATCATATCTTTGTTGTTGTTGTTGTTGTTGTTGTTGTTGTTGCTGTTGCTGTTGTTGTTGTTGTTGATTGTTGATTTTATTCTTATTCTTGTTCTAGGTGTTTCGATTTCTCTTATCAATTCCACGTGTCAGCTACATCACCGCTCTAAACTTGTGCTCTTCTTTGAGGACAATGCGTGATCTTTTATCCTGGTAAGAACCGTATCTGTATCTCTTTCTGTCGCCTATATTTCTGAAACAAAGTTTGCGGCAAATGGGCTGGGCTGGGCTGGCTTATCGTGGTCACCTTACCTAACTTGTTGAATCTGGTTCATTCCTTAGCTCACCAGAGGATTTGAAGAAGACCACAAGACAACTGAGCGAATCGCGAGCTKCAGAGCTTCACAGCTATCTTAGACATGAATTTAATGAAAGTATGATAAACAAAAATATGAGAAAAAATACGTGATATTGGACAATGAATATATTATCAATCAAATGTTTCTAATGAATTGGAAAGTTAATTTGTAAATAGATAGTTTATGGTGAGTACAGTAATAAATTTGTTCCTTTTCTTATTCTACTGTCTTTATTTCGAGGTGATTATTGCAGTTGCATAGACCTCTGAAGCTTTTACGTCATGTGCCGTATACGCAATGCATTGTAGGATATGTTTGGGGCAGAAAAATGGCGGATTTCTTTTGTTTTCTCTAGAAACTGATCCCACAATGCATTGAAAATCAAGTAGGACGTAAAAGGTTCAGAAGGTTACTTGTCCTGTGAATATTTTACGCTACAAAGTTACAACAGAAACTAGAGCCTAACGATGTATTTCGCTTTTAGGTTATTTCTGTGGCTGCGCGCAACATGCCAATAAAATTAAAATTCTTAAAATGAAGGTCCCACCGAGACTTGAACTCGGATCGCTGGATTCAGAGTCCAGAGTGCTAACCATTACACCATGGGACCACTTTCATAAAAGATGGAAAGTTTGTCAGTAAAATCAGTTTTACTTGCTGCAAACTGTAAATAGAAATATTAGTGAAATTCCCTAAAATGAAGGCAGGTCCCACCGAGACTTGAACTCGGATCGCTGGATTCAAAGTCCAAAGTGCTAACCATTACACCATGGGACCAATTCTTATATTTCTTAAGATATTCACAGCCGGTTAAATTTACGTTTCTATATCACTTGGGCATTTTCACGGAGCACAAATTGAGAGAAGGATGAATCTTGCCTTCGACGGCGCTGAAAACGGAAAACGAAGGTCATTGACTTCCGCTGGATGTCAAAATTGCGGGCCTTGGTCTGACAAAGAGTGCCGCTGACCAGTTGTGTACGCAGTCAACTAAGACTAGATACTTGCAGAACTTTTCAGAAAAAATACTATACAACTTGTGCGCTTTGGGTATTTCGTTGTATGTCTGTATATATCAGTCTCTAGCTCCATCGAATATAATCTTGTGTAATTTGACTTTATTCAGCTGTTCACGAAATGATTTTCCTTGCTCTATTAGCTTTCACCTGTGCAATGGCAAAAGAATCATGGCGGTAGGTGTGGACGTGAATTTTCACTTTATAGATTGTAAAAGGGGGGTTTAGCCTTTTTTGCTTAAAAATCCGTGATTTTAGATACTCGACTAGAAGAAGCGAACAAGATTTCACAACTAGAGACCCTGTAAGTACTGTAAATGAAAATCCCCATTTGTGCTTTAAAGATCTTATCTTATCAATTTTAAGCTTATGAATTTTATTCTTAAGCTTAAGTATAACTTATTATAATAGTAAGAACTTAAGTTAAGTTAAAGACTTGTGCTCATCTTCATTCTTGCATGTTAGATTTATTTAGATTATTTTGGACAACAAACTGCAGACTGGTGCTATGCGAGTGGTTGTTTTCTGAGTGAGACGAGGTAAAATTCTACTGGACGTTTATAATCYWGTAGYTCAACTCATGTTAGTTGCTTTCATATTTTATTTTGCAGTTCTAAAACTTCTCTACTGCATTGCAAACAGGCGGGATTACATGCTATCAGCCCTGTTAAGAATGCATCTATGGTAAATRTTTCCCTACTTTACTGCACTTATTGTTTTTATATTTCTTGTTCTTCCTATGTTCTTTTTAAGTTCTTTATCCCTTTTTATTTCCTCCTCTATCTTTTTTTTTAGTTTATTCTTTCCAACTTCTAGGTGAGATACATTAATGTTGTCCACAGTCCTTTCTGTTATGAATGGTATCTGGCACACCACAGAATCATCACTGAGTAAGAATTCAGGTTTAAATTTGTACAATACTTGATAGTWCTTCACAAGATCCTCAGCACAGCATTAGTATTTATTGCCCCAATTTCTTGTTTCAGTGAAACAACCGATACTTTTAGAGTTTGGATTGTGGACCCCTTGCATTCTTCAAGTGAAGAAGAGAATCAGACAGCAGTTCTACCATCATCAGTAAGTATTGATCAAAAGATAGAAATAGAGGCATTTTATTGTTCACCAGAATATGTTGAATACCTTAATATAAATTGTTCCCCAATTAAGATCAAAATGTGTGARAAAAGGGACTGAAATAGATATTATGACCTTGTTGATGATTGGGTACCCTGTGGCAGAGATACATTTTCAAAAGCAATTTGGACATCCCCTTGAACTGAAAAAAAAAATGATAATGACAAAAAGTGCTAATCAACATTGTCATTCAAATTACATCACCATATGTGAGCGCTTTCACATCCATTTCTGGGTTCATTTTGAATTTTGATTATACATGAACTTGATSAATATTCTATATATTAGGTGGTATTTTCATGATTACTGTTAAGAATTCAATAAGAAAACACCATATTTACACATCCATTYATGACAAAGAAATCCAAAGCATGAAGTACTGTAATTTCTACTTCATTTCTATTTTTTCTTTCAGTTTCATCTACTTCTCTTTTTATTATTATCAGTTTTCAGCTCAACTCTCTACAATATTCAACAAATTTGGACAAGAACCATTCATAAACCTGAGGTCAGGCTACAGATCAATACCTTCCCCTATAAACACCATTAGCAAGGGATTTAACAGCAATACAAGGTACAACTGTTTTTTGTGGTTACTCCCATTATAGAAGTCTAACCACTACGCTATMARTCAGTACGTATACACAGTATATACATTACGTACAGCGAGCTGAGATCGCCTCATACACAAATGAAACTTTCATATGCATGTTTTAWTTCTTTTAGTTGTTGGGAGTTCATAATGGAGGAACCAATCGTTGACACTCAGCTAACCGTTTGGATTACTGGGAAATCGATTGCATTTCACGACTGCTTTATCAGGTAAAACGAGTGGTACGTCAAAACAGTCTTAATGAATTTAAAAAAAAAGGAAAGGAAAAAGAAAGAAAAAGAAGGGAAAAGATTGAAGAGAAACTGAGAAGCAAATAAACAAGCGAAATAGTGAAGTACGAGACAGACCGAGAATAAGATTAAAAGAAAAAGAAAAAAGAAATAAATAAAACTGCATAACTTCAACTGTGTTCTAATACTAGGGACAAACGGATACAGCTTCTTTTGCCAAAATACGTCTTTGATTTTGACGACCAGATCCAAAAGGTTAGYCACTAATAAAAGTACTATTTGAATTTGTTTCAAAGGAATGCAGTCCATAAAGTGAGAAGACGAGGTTGAATACCTCTTTATTCTACGCTATTTTTTCCATTTCAATATGTTTGAAGCCCCTTTTTTGCATCTTTAGGTTCGACTGATTGGAGAAGGTCAATATCCACGAGTTATAACGGTTAGCAGTTCCTCTATTTTACCAGTATAATCTCATTAGGTTTTGAAAGGAACTTTTATTATGCATGGTGAATTTGACTAAAATTTTTAATTAATTCAATCAATKAACTTTTTCCCTCCAATGTGGGATGGTAGTGCGCGACAACTACATTGTTTTCTTGCGCATGTTCAGATTAAATAGTGAAATATTCTGTCTTCCCTAYAGAGCCCSTGTTCACCACACATTGCTGCATTTATCAGGTAAAAAAATAACCAAACTGAAACGCAAGGGATAATCCTTATTGCTCCTATTCGACTTCCTTTGAAGTAAAATTTCTTTAAAAAAATAAGGTCCCACCGAGATTTGAACTCGGATCGCTGGATTCAAAGTCCAAAGTGCTAACCATTACACCATGGGACCATTGCATACTATTTTGTGAATTTCGTCGAGAGAAATCAAATAACAGCAATTTACTTTTAGTAAAATGTTCCAAACAAAACGAGGTCCCACCGAGACTTGAACTCGGATCACTGGATTCAGAGTCCAGAGTGCTAACCATTACACCATGGGACCACTTACGTCAATGTTTGTGTGTACTGCGTTAATCCCCGTTTGGGGGATTGTCGCGGAGATGGTCGCGCGACCATCCCCTGAGTTTCGAACATGCTTGACATTTAGTTGGCAAGTCGCGGCGATTTTCGATCGCAGCAACAATCGTAGAGCTGTTTACACGTACAATTCTGGGTGCGTGATAGCAAATCGTGCGCAAAAATTGCAAGTGTAAACGGGCCTTTAGAACGAATCTTATTTTTCACGAATGAAAATTAAATGAAATAAAAAGACAAAGAGAGTTCGCCACTTCGGCTCTTGTAATTATGTTCTTTTTTCTGTTTTTGCTAGCTCTAGTTTCGTTATCACACAAGATAACTTTAAAACCACATCACAAGTCTACATCCCTACTGGACTACTCCAGGTACGTGGGGTTATTGTAAGAAGCTGTCGTCTTCAAACGGACCCCAAGTTACTGTGAGCGTTGATTATGAATAGTAACATTCAAGGCCCGACTCATCCAAGTACCTTTGCAATTTGATTTGATTTTGAGCCAATCGGAAAGCACCTTTCAAGAAGAGATCACTTGTCCARAGGTTCCATTCACGTCGGCCTGTCATAACCTCCTCCCCAGGCAACTCTTTTTCCTTCTTTGGGCTTCCTTTGTAACGTTCATCTTGGCCGCTAGGGAATAGTGACGAGAACAGAAAGAATAAGACGCTTTCCCTCTCTCGTCCCCATTCTCCCTCTTTTGACTCCACAAAAAAAGACAGGTAGACCGTGATTCTTAGTGATGCCTGCGGAAGAGGCTAAGCCTGTTATTCTTTGTTTAAGAGAAGTGAACATTATCAATCAATTTTGAATATCCGACAATACATTTCGGTGTTGCGTGCTTTTCTCGCTCTTCTCTGACATCTTTCTTGAAATTGTTGTACACTTTCTATTACTTATAGGGTTCGGACCCGGTCGTGGTTGACACTGCCTTTTCTACRAATGGTAATTTGTTGCTTATGCTAAAGTCAAGCATCGTTTTGGTTTACGATACGATGCTACAAAGGTTTTCCAAATCATCAGGTATGCTTGAACCTCCAAAAAATATAGAAAGTTGCTTAATTAGACTATATTAGAGTGGTTTTCGTTAACCCGTGAAACACACTTTAGCGTATTTATCGCTATTACACTTTGGCTCTTTTGTTTTTTTATTGTCTCTACGCGACTTACGATATATTACTCTCTAATTATTACACTTTGCTTCACGGGTTTATAAAAAACACTCTAACAGTCAAATAATTAGTTTGTTTATGGCAGGGCTCACAAGTGGTACAGATTCTGGWCTGGCAAGAATTTTACCGTCCTCCACTGGTTGCTCTTCTGACACAAACCATGAAATCGATACCATTGCCTGGTCAAACTCGGTATGAACTAGCTTCCATGTTTACACATAGGCAGACACAACTCTCTTCTCATTTTTTTCACCTCCTTGCATCAGTTCCCCTGAATCTCTAATTTATTAATAATATTATGCTAATATTTATTAATAATATTATCAATAGGAAGGTGTATTTGCATCAAGTGATGGTGGAAATAGTTTTGTAAAAGTTTCTTGGCCATTTTCTCAGYCTGTAAGTATATTACTCAATTTCTATGTGAACTGAGAGTGTTTGAGAGAAATTGAAATGACAAGTTATTGTTGTACAATTAATGTTGTAATCAGCATCATTGACAGCATCATTGCCATCGTCATTATTTGGCATTTGTCATGATTTGATATTGTCCGATATTATCAATTCTCATATAGATGTTAATCCTCGAAGTGGTGTTTCATCCTTTCTACCAAAGCTACTTCTTCCTTGTGCATGACTCGAATGACTCGAAAAATCAGGTAACAYGATTGATCGGTCGGAATAATAAAACATAAATTATCCCAACGCAAATTTGTCTTACATAGATAGTGTTCCACACCTCGATTTCGCGAACGATTGCTAAATATACCGCTTATTCTAAAAGCAAAAGAATTTAACTTATTCAACTGTGAAAACTTTACTTGCCATTGTGAAAACTATAGCTACAAACGGCAAATTAGTATTAGTTGTTACATTACGTTTTGCACCACCTAAGTCGGTTGTGGGAAACATGTTTTTCAAACGTGAACAGTAACGGTGTTTCACCTCAAATTGGTCGATTTTACTGCTCGTATGATTAATTGATAGGATTCTTATTATGTTGTAGCTCGCCGTTCTTGAATATATTGATGGAGCKTCGCTATGGAGACAACATGTTTTGAATTTCACTAAATACACTGCAGGTTTGTCATTTAGCAATGTTGATTTTTATATGTGATAAAAAACATTTTTTTATTGCGGTGATAGTCATCATCAAAAAGAAATGTACTCCAAAGCGAAGAAACGAAATCCAGAAACAGATTTCATGTTTTTTTTTATAATTAAGTGAATTTTCAGAAGCAAAAATATTGAATTTTCTCAATAAGAAAATGGTCAAAAAGCTATAATCGCTCTCC